TATGTTGGGCGTGTGCATGAGGGTGGGGAAGGGACACTGCACGTGAGTCTTTGCCTATTCAGTAGCACTGCACCCACAATTATGACAACTAAGATTGTCGCCAGACACCATTGAATGTTCCAAGGAGATAAAATGGCCCTACTTTCTTTTATTTATTTATTTATTTAAAGTTTGGAGCTGGAACAATTAGCACAGCGGGTAGAGTGTTTGCCTTGCACACGGTTGACCCGGGTTCGATTTCTCCACCCCTCTCGGAGAGATCGGCAAGCTACTGAGAGTATCCCGCCGGCATGGCAGAGCCTGGCAGGCTCCCCGGGGCATATTCAATATGCCAAAAACAGTAACAACAAGTCTCACAATGGAGATGTTACTGGTACCCACCAGCAGATCGAGCAGAATAGGGAGGACAGTGCTACAGTGCTATTTAAAATTTGAAGTGGGTTTACAAAAGCAATCATTGTAGCCATGATTAATTGTCTGATTAATCATGGGTCTGGCACCATATGAAGGGCTCAGGCAAGAGTAGTTCATTTATTGTGGTGTCTGGATCCCAAGTCCCCACATCTTTCTTTATTTCAGTGTGAGTTTCATCAGCAGCAGAATTTTTCTCCTTTTCTCAGAAATGTGTGCTCTGCCTCCTGCCCCAGTCAGCAGGCAGGATAAGAGAGGGGAGTCTGGGGATCCTCTTCCTTTGGAAGGGTGTGCTTCCAAGCTGTCCACGCACCCATTTATAAAGTGCCGACGGTCGTTCCTGCCTCGAGAGTCTTTGAGACCAAGAAATAAATTTTTGCAAAGGCTGCAGCATGGCGCTTGGCTCCTCCCCCACCACCACCCTTCACAGCCCAGCCGCAAGGGCTGAATCGCAGCAGGTGATCAACATGCTCTGGAATGATCAGGCTGAGGAAGAAGAGCATGTGGCATCTCTCAGGGGCATCCGATAAGTACTTCTAGGCTGGAAGTGCAGGTACCAAGGCGGCAAGGAGCAGAACAGAGGTTAGACTCCCCATGAGTGTCTACGGTCCAGCGGGGTGAAGATAAAAACTCACGCAAGTATTGAAAGTATGAACAATTCACAAAGGGGGAGTTCCAACCCACGCTCACATTCAACCCAACACACACTCACACCTGCAGAGATGCCTGGTGGCATGTGGTCAGACCGGAACTCTGCCCCGGACCCTTCCAGCAGCACCGCAGCAGGAGTATGGGCAGCCAGGGCACTGGGGCTCTGGAGACGTTTTAATAGAGAGTTTCCTCGCGTTGGAAGCTTCAAACACTGAACCTTAATGAAAGAAAACATTTCCACTGATCTTTTCCATTCTTAATAGGAGTGAAAAGTAACTAAGGCTAATGAAATAGTCTGCTTGGTTCCAATTCAACGAGCACTTTCTTCGAATAACTTCATTGTCCTTTAAGATTGAGGTGAAGGTGTGTCTGTATTTGGAAAGGTCATGTCTGCCCAAAGATAGGGTCATGTAGCGAGTTCCCAAAGGAACCTGACCCTGTGTGACCCCTGACTATGCCTGCTTCCTAGTTGCTATGCTGGGGATCTTGCCCCTCCCAACCCTGCCCAGTCTCAGTTTCCTCCCTTGCCAAGTGTGAAGCAGACAATTGCTCAGAGTTAAGTTGAGGGTTGAACTGATACAGGAGTGGGGCACCAGCATCCGATTTGGTTCCTAGGAGGCTCGGTTGATGATCACCCCATGATATTGTGATTTGCAAGAAAACTCCAGTGGGGTGAGGGGCTCCTAAGTGTGCTTTGGAGTTCTGGGGCGGGAGACCCACCAGTGAATCTCAACTCACCTGGCCTATGGTTCAAGTAGGGGCCTATGGAGGAACCACTGCTCAGCCCTCCCCCCCCATTCCAAGCCAGAGGGGTGGGCTGCATCCTGCATCCTGCAACCCCTGCCTCCCAGAGGCTCAGGGACTATTGGTAATTTCCTGGCTCTGCAAGACACATTTTCTCAGAGTATTTTCATCATTCAGATGACCACCCTGATTTTCTCCTACACACTTGATCTTCCTGGCTTGATCCCCTCACCCTCACCCCAAATCTGTGACCGAATCTCTAAAGTTCTAGAAATGTGGTTTATTTCTATTTCACCATCTGGGCTTTCTCACTGGATCCATCGATAATACAAGAACAGTCAGCGAGCCAAAATTAAATCTCCCCCACCTCAATAACAAATCACCAGCAAAAAAGAGCCTTTTCAGGGGGGCAGAAGGGCCCGTGGAGGGGGGGTGCTCTGCACACAGGTGACACCCAAGTTCTCCAGCCTGGAGGGGATGCAAAGGAGTCACTTCCAATGACATTCTGTCGGCAGCCGGATCAGTGTTGAAGGAGACTTAGCACTGTAGCACTGTTCTCCCGTTGTTCATCGATTTACTGGAGCAGGCCCAGTAACATCTCCATTGTAAGACTTGTTATTACTGTGCTTGGCATATAGAATACCTCACGGGTATCTTGCCAGGCTTTGCCATGTGGGCGAGATACTCTTGGTAGCTTGCTGAGCTCTCTGAGAGGGGCGGAGGAATCGAACCTGGGTCAGCTACGTGCAAGGCAAACACCGTACCTGCTGTGCTATCATTCCTGTGAGCCAATTTAAGGAAATGAGAGCCCAATTTCTGATGACGGGAAGAGAGGGCAGAAGGTTTCCTGGGCAAGGTTGAGAGGGTGGTTGGAGGTGGGTTAGGAAGCCTCCTGGGTAGGGCTAGACTTAACACAGGCCCTGGTCACCACCTTGTTGCAGCAGTCAGTCATTGCAGGGAGGGAGTCAGCCCTGGAGCAGGGTCCCCTAACTCCACAGCCTCCAGCCTTTGCTGATTTGCACCTCGTGTCTCAGATGCGTGTTGGATGTGACTCAGGCATCAGTTTCTTCCTTGGTCAAATGTACTCCCAAATCCCGTGCCTCTTATTTTGGGTCCCATAACCGGAAGCTCATATTTCACGTTTCATATCACAGACTCTTCAAACAGGGCTTAAGGATCCAGCCTGAGCTCTCGAGCATCCGTGAGCATCGTTGCTCTGTTGCTCTGATCAGCCTTGCAGAGACCGTCCTGGGTCTGGTGGTGGTGGTGGTGGTGGGGTGTGTGTGTGTGTGTGTGTGTGTGTGTGTGTGTGTGTACATCAATGTGCAGCTCAGTGGCTGGTGCTCTGGCCTGGTCAGCAGCCCGGGTTATGAAGATGCAGCTTCCATCTTCTCCACTTTCTCCACATCTGCTCATCGTGACTGGGGGCTCTCCCCAGCTCCCCCACGCCTCTTCCTCCCCTTTTCTCCTTCCTCCTTTCCTACCCCAGCCCCTCCCATTCTTGCCTCATACTTCCCCATTTCCTCTTCTCTCCTTTCCTCCTCTCCCTCTCCTATTCTCTGTCAACCTCCATCCCCTTCTCCTCCCCCCCCCCCACGTGTGACTGCATCACTTCCTCAAAAAGGTCTGTGGCTACCCAACCCAGGCTTCCCTCTCTCCCCATCAGCAGAGCCTGGCAGTTTCCAGAAGGGGGAAAGTTTTAGCCCCCGGAGGGGAGCAGTGGACAAGGGGAAGAGGCTATGCTGGCCTTGTCCACCAGCTGTGGAACATTCCAAGCTCTACTGAGGGCCATCCTTCTTCTTCTTCCCAGACTCCCAGCCATCTGCTAGTCTCCCCTCTCTAGAAGCTGCACGCAGCCACTGCTTAGTGGGGGTGGAGAACCTTCCAGAAACTTCCAGTAGTGTAGAACCTTCCAGAACCTTCCAGAACCTTCATGTTCTTCCCTTCTTTCACCGCCCATTCCTACCTATACCTGCTCCACCAGGAATGATGTGAGCCTACACAGGAGCTGAATAGTTCCTCCACTGCCATGTTTGCTGCCTTTGTGGTGGCCCACGACCGACCACAGGTCACACAGGTCACTGCCCTGCTCTCAGCCCTGCTGGTTCCCAGGATCCTCAGTTTCTAGTAGGGCTGCAATTCTCAGCATCTCTTCAGTTCATGTGACCATGAACTCCTCCCTCCCCAGAATCTTAGGAATCTAATTCCCCAGAACACATTTTGCAAATATACAATAAAAAGTGATGAATATTTATTCTCCCCTCCAAAGAAAGGAACTGTACCTGAGTCCTCTAAGGGTATTAGACATGCTCCTCTTCTCTTGGGCCTTCTTGGGGGACAAATGAGGCATCATTTGAGGCTGTGATGGGCAAGACTGTAGGGACATCAGCAGGAGGACATGGGACTCTTGGGGAAGCTCTACTTGGTCCTTAGTTTTTCCAGGGGCTCCCTTCCTCCAGGCCTTCATGGGCAGACACTCCCCACCTTTCCTCTTCCCTGCATTTCCATGTGGCCAGCTCCAGGAAAGATCTTCATTGACCTCATTGCTGCATGCACAGATCTCGCCAGGAGACCATAGCCAGGCCTTGGTAGTACAAGCTTCCAGAATTTGTGAGGGGCAGCAAGATAGCAACAAAAGATCAAAGGCAATACAATGGAAGAACGAATCCACACAACTGAGTTTGGAGGGGTTTGAAAGGGAGGGGTTTGGGGTCCTTGGGGAGGCAGGTGGTTGCTCTGGTAGGAGTGTGGTATTGGAATTAGGTGTACCATTAACGGAGTACCAGTATTATAAATCACAGAACTTGAATAGATTAAAAAAAAATCCAAAGAATTAAGTGAGGAGATGCTATGTTGGCCTGAAAATGTTTTCAGGTAGAACAACTACTGAAACAAACACACTAACATAAAAAGGAAGGAAGGAAGGAAGGAAGGAAGGAAGGAAGGAAGGAAGGAAGAAAACAATCACCACAACAAAAACACACAGAAAACTGCAGGAAAACCACCTCTTCTGCCTGTTGATAAAACAAAAGCTTCTAGAAATCGCAAGAAGGAGACCCGGGGTATCCACGTTGGGAGTGTTTTAAAATTGATTTTTATTCAATGCCAATTTCAAGGAAGACTGTGCCGATCTCTGTTACACACTTGATCTAATAAAGACCCATCCAGGGATCTTAGTGCGCTGTCAGGAGCGGGAAGGCTTTTCCTGGGGAGCAGGGGACACATGCTGGTCGACTCATGGAGGGTCTCACTTCTTCTTGAAGACTTGGTGGCATACCTGGTCACCGCAGGTCAGCTCCTGCAACAGCAGAAAGCAGGCGAGTGATTAAGAAGCGGGGACCGCCTTCTGCCTGGCCCCTGCCTCCCTGGGGGATGGCGGGGAGCAGGGCAGAGCCAAAGCCAAGAGGACACTTCGTCATTCTGGGCCAAGTGCACCTCACAAGCTCAATCAGCGGCCGTGCCCTGCAGGTAGCAGTAATTTGATTTTGACACTTGAACAACTATAAAAATGAAACATGCAAAGAAATAACCCTCTTGGGTGGGATTTCTCCTACTCTCGTGATTAAAGCAACATTGCCTAATTTACAAAAGGCAGAGAGGCCACGGGGGGCGGGGGTTGGAGGGGAGAAGGTGAGGGCTGGCCCGCCACACTAAGGGCCTCTGACTTGGAGCACTTGGTGCGGGTCCAGGTGGCCACATGGTATGGGCTGCTGGAGGACCTCCCCCCCCAGGCCTGCTTGTCAGTGAAGATGTAGTTCTTCATCGGGCTAGCAGGGACCCCCAGGCCTTAGCTGCACCTCAGAACCATCTAAGGGCGATGAGTAAAATTGGAATGTGGGGACAAGCACATCATGGCAAGTGACAGGACCCCATGGGTCTCCATCTCGGGCCCTACTGGGGACTGTCCTGCAATTAAAAAAATCCATCATCCGCCTCGGGCAGGTAGGGAACACCGCCGGCGGAAAGCTTGGTGACTGCCGCCCATTTATCACCGGCTGACAGTGCCTGGGAAATCAGCTCTCGGCGAGGCCACTCTGGCTCTGCAGCACGCTGGGACGTCCCGAGGAGGGGACACAGACTCCGTTGGCACATGAATGGATATAGGAAGAAAGGGTGGCGTGAAAGCCATCCACTGAAAACACGGGGCGAGAGAGTGGGTGGGGCGTGAAGGCGCAAGTGCTCACGCCCATTTTTCCCTTTGAAATGGGATCCAGATTGCCTTGAACATGGGCAAATAGCAGATTTCACTCCTTTGGCAGCTCCCATGTTTTTCAGAGCATCGGCAGTGGTTCCTGCCGCTCTGTTCTAGTTCCAAACCAACCGAAACTATTTGGGGTGTGTGTGGGGGGTGCGCATCAAGTGGACATACCCATCATGGAGGACTGGCCTCCAGGCCTGACTGCTCTGAGCCCCCTTCTTGCAGACTCAAATCCGCCAGTCCCTTCTCCTCTGGGCATCTCTACCTCAATTTCTCCCCAGCTGCTCTGTAGAAGGTTCCCTGCGTTTCTCTTTGGATTTTCGCTTCCTAACTCAGCCGTCTGATCTTTGGTGTTCAGGAAATCGCCATATAGATTTCTTCCCCAGGTCCCCTGAGCTTGGGGGGTCAGGGCAGGCCCTTGGCAGGGGCCCCAGGGAGGGGTGAAGGGGCATCTGTCTTGTCCTAGAGTGGGGCCAGTGAAGGAATGGACAGGCTGGACATGGCAGCCCCAGGGGTGGGGCAAAGTCCAGAACTCACCAGGTGCAGCTTGTCCCCCTCAACCCACTGCTTCCAGCCGCGGTTCTCCTTCTCCCCCTTCTGTACACACACGAGGGTGTTCCCTTCCCAGGTGACCAGCGACTGCAATGACAGAGTTCAGGCAGGTCAAAGGATCGTCTCCATCAGGACCCAATAAACTGTATTACTTAGCTGGGGTCCAGGCAGCGCTCCTGGACTCCCGTTGTCCCCCAAGTGCCTTGACATCGACCTTCTACACACCCTCTCCCCACACCCTCTGCTCTGGCCAAATCGGCTTCGGGCAGCTGGTTCTGTGAAAATTCTCCTCTTCCGTTCTGCCAGATGGCAAGCAGCATCCCAGCCCACGGGGGGTGAAGATGATAAATTTGACTCTATCACGATGTAAAATGTCTGGAAGAGAAAAATACTTCCACAGCCACAGACACCTGCCAAACTGACACAGCAAATTGCAACCAATACTGGACAAAGACCCAATTTCCTTCTATGTAAAGGGCTTCCGTGAATCAATAAGAAACAGATCATTACCCTAATTGGAAATTCAACAAAGGACATGAACCAACAACTTGAAGGAAGGGGGAAAAAAAAAACAATAACACCGCAGCAGATGGCTTTCGAACATACATAAGAAAAGATATTCAATCCAGGCTGGCTTATTTTTCAGATACAATTCATCATACGGTCCAAAATCAGAGTGTGTGATGGCATACCGACTGGGGGTAAGGGGGTGATGGTGAGGAGTGGGAGGAGGGTGGCAGCAAGACAGACACCCTCCCGTTTGGCTGGCGGCTCTAGAAGTCAGTAGGAATCTTTTTTGCATTATCTTTCAAAATACAGCATGGCATCTACTCTTTGCCCCAGAATTCAGCTTCTGGGAATTCTCCCCGCAGGAAGCACAAGCAGTGAACAGCAATTTGTAGGAAACAAAGGCAGGAAGGCACCCAACTTCGGGGGGAGGCAGGGGGCGCTCCTGAGGCAGCTTGGCCTTCCACAACCAGCAGGGTAGAGTCTCTTCCAGTCCTGGTCTCCCATTATCCCCCTCACCTTGAGGGGCCCGAGATGGTACAGGGATACAGGCCTTTTACTCAACAGACAGGCCTGTCTGAGCAGGAGAGACCACAAGTCAGCTGAACCCCAAATATTCCAACCTGGTCACATACTTGCATACGAGTCTCCCCTGAACTCATCTGTATCCTCCTGCACCTTTCCCTGGGAGACTCTTTCCTTTTCCTGCTTGGGGACCAGCCCAGTCCTCCCCTCCTGATATAATGATGAACCATTATGCAAAGACCCCAGTATTTACTTTTTTCCATGTCTCGGAAAGTCAGTGGTGATAAACTGACCTGTTTTGAAAGAGCATATTTTGGGGTCACACCTGACAGTACTCAGTGGCTATTCCTGGTTCTGTGCTCAGGAGTAACTCCTGGTAGTGTGTGGAGAACGTTATGGGGTGCTGGGGATTTGAACCAGGGTTGTGACCAAAATAGCCACATGTGAGGAAAAGTGCCTTATGTTTTGTGCTTTCTCTCAAGCTCCTCCACTTTTTTTTTTTTGGTTTTTAATTCACTGTCCTTGCATGTTCAGGCCTGTGTTTTGTCACAAATCTGTTTTCTACACATTGTTAAGTTTACCTATTTCTAAAATAATGTTTGACCTTGGCCACAGAATATAGTTTATGTACAATTTTATTCCTCCTCATTTTACTCCTCAACACATCGCTCTGTTGTTGGTTCCAGCAAAGGGCTGGCGGCCTCATAAATTCTGTCAGTGGGAGGCTGGTTAAATGCACTCTTGAGTGCTCCAACGGCCCTGGAGGAGGTAGAGTTTTACCCTAACAGACATGAGTTGGCTCCACAGAGGGTGCTGTTCCCTACCCTAAAAAAGCTGGCACTTGGGAGATGGCACTAGTGTATCAATCCTGCTTGGATCCTTAGTAGCACTTGTTCTCCCCCACCCTGCCCCCACCAAGGGCACCACCAGGTGTGACGTGGAGACTATCAAGCACTTCCGGGAGAACCCAGGTGGTGCTCTGTACTGCAAGGCCCAAGCATTGACCTAGCTCACGTGGCTGGCCCAGAATCACCCAGGTTTCCTGAACCTCTTGCCCACAACCCATCAAGAATGAAAAAGGAGGAGCCAGAGTGACAGTGCAGCGGGTAGGGCATTTGCCTTGCATGTGGCTGATCTGAGTTCCATCCCCGGCATCCCATATGGTCCTCCAAGCACAGCCAGGAGTAATTCCTGAGTGTAGAGCCTGGATTAGCCCCTGAGGATCGGCCTGGTGTGACCCAAAAAGCCAAAGAAAGAAAGAAAGAAAGAAAAAGAAAGAAAGAAAGAAAGAAAGAAAGAAAGAAAGAAAGAAAGAAAGAAAAAGCCAAAAGCAAGAATAAGGTCCTCTACACCAAACGAGGACAGCATGTCTTGTTCCTGTGCTTGCTGGATGGGTATGAGGCTGGCTGGGAAGTTCCTCTTTTTGCCTCTTAAGTGTATTTTGTTTGTTTGCTTCAGTTTGTTTTGGTGTAGGGTCACACACAGTCGTGCTCAGGGCTTAGTCTTGGCTCTGAACTAAGGAATCATTCCTGGCAGAAGACTATCTGGAGTGCCTGGGATTGAACCCCAGGGGACCAGGTGCAAGGCAAGTGCCCTACCTGCTGTACTATCACTCCCACCTTTCTTTTTTTTTTTAATGTAGGAGTACTGCTATTTATTCAGCCACTGATTAGCTGATTGAATTGGGCATGAACTCCACCTTACTTTTTTTTTTCATTTTTTATAATTTTATTTATTCAATCACCGTGAGAGCAGTTACAAAGCTTTCGGGTCCAAGTCTCAGTCATACAATGGAACACCTGTACCTTCACCAGTGCCCATTCTCTGCCACCAAAATCCCCAGTCTACCCCCATCCCACATGCTCCCCCTACCTGTGGGGCAGATGATTTCCACATTACTCTCTCTCTCTACTTTGATCACATTCAATATTTCGACACCAGATCCACCATTATTATTTGAGATTTTACCCCAACACTCAGATCTGCTGAAAAGGCAACAGTAGACAATTTGTGTTCTACTGCTGGTTATGAATAACATATGATGTTGCATGGCTGCAGTAGGGCCATGTGGTTTTGAAATTCCGAAGTTTTAACACTTAAATCTGGAGGGATTTCTGCCAAAAGCCACTGGGTTTCAAGATTTGCTCCTGAGACTCTGGGGTCATGGCCATTGAGCAGCTTGATCAGGAGCCAGAGAGACCGTTCGTGGGTGATGACTTGGGGTCTCATTGGGACGGGGAGACCAGTACTGGCTTCACCCCCATCCCGTGAGGCCCAACAAGTTTTGTCACTGCGGGCCCAGACCTGACTGTCCAATGGCCTCTGGAGGATGACGGTCACTGAGCCCCCAAGGGGGAGCAGGTGGAGGGACAACACCCTTTCCCCCCTGGGTTGGCCCGGCGACAGTAACCTACTGCGGGGTCTGGACGCATTTCTGCCAAAAGCCGCTACTCCCACCTTTCTTAAGTTATCTTTATGGTTGGGGAGATGGGGCCTGGGGGCCAACACCCAGTTTTTCTCACAGGCTATTTTTGACTGTGAGCTCTCAGGAGTATCGATCCCTCCAGTGCTTGGAGGATCTCACGTGATATCAGGGATCAAACCAGAGTCAGCTGCAGTACAAGGCAAGTGTCTTACTTTGTGTACTATCTCTCCAGCCTTGAATTTCTTTTTTAAAGCTTCTGCTTGGATCGATTTTCCCCAAATGAATTAAAAATTATACCCCACATGCTTTCTAAAGGGAGTTTCAATGCTTCCCTGTGAGTCCTTCCAAGGTCCCTGAACGTCTTTGAAAAGCTTAACTCATGGTTTGCTGTCCTGGAAGGGAAATGTCTGGAATCTGGAATATTCTTGTGTAACTGCAACATGGACCTATTGGTCTGGGACTCCAAGTCTATTCTCGGATAGATAAGGTGGATTTCTAGCCTCGATTTGGGCTCCTAATCTTCCCCCATGGGTCCTAGACCCTGACCAAGGAACAGGACAGCTTCATCTAAGCGCTGAGTCTGGGGTTTTGTAAAGAGTTTGGAGATAGACCATCCTCCGGGGTAATGCTGGTGTAGTTTTCGCCTCTAAGGAGAGTTGTTGCTCCAGGAAAACACGGCCAGCCTTTTTGTGCCATGGAAACTTCCAGAGCACATTCGGCATCTGGTCTCAGTGGTATCCCTCATGGATGCACATCTGTTTGCTCATGTGGCTGGGATGCCATGAAAGAGGGGACGATCCTACAGGCTCAGAGCAGACCTGGGGAGAGAGCCTGGCTTGAAGGAAGGGGAGGTTGGGATAGGGTTGTGAAGACAAGAATCCCTTCAGGACAGGAAAGAAAGGCTGAGTTATTTCTATCATTTTGGTGTTTTGTTGTTGTTGTTGCTGTTCGGTGGCTTTTTGTGTGTGCGGGGCTTAGGCCATACCTGGCAATGCTCAAGGGTTACTCCCACTCAGGAGTCACTCCTGGGAGTGCTCAAAGCACCATGTGGGATGCAGGAGGTCGCATCCTAGTCGACTTTCTTGAGGGTGCTGTCGCTCCAGCCCCAGGAGCTCTCCCCTGTCAGAGGTGACAGGAAGCGGAGCCAGCACCAGCTTTCCCCCAGCTGTGCCCTGGCCGCGGCCAAGCCGTCAGGCTGAACTGATTGCATTGGAGGTGCAGAAGGCTGCAAAATTCCAGAGCCCAATTTTTCTATCGGTTCTGGCATCTGATGACCCGGCCTTTGAGTCCCGCCATTCTGCAAAGCCCCCCACTCCCTGACCCCTGGAGCCTCTCAGAGCTGCAAGCTTGGGGTCTCCCCTGAGACCGGCTCTGGTCGATGGAAGGTGGGTATGAAAGCGTTTCGAATGTTTCACTCCCCACTGAGTTTTTGCCCTGACTGTGACTCCTGAAGGCAGGTATCATCCAGGCTCTGGAACAACTCAACTGAGAAACACAATATGTCTGTCCCTCTTGGCTTCAGAGCCAGCAGGTTCCCATGCTCTCTGGGGACAGGAGCCCTGAGCTTTGGGGGAGTGTGGAGACCTGGGATTTTGAAAGTGCTCCTGGTGGCCTAGAGAAGACCTGGGGTTACTGGGCACTCAGTGGGGAGGAGGCCCTGTCCCCATGTGGTCCTGCAGAGGCTGGTCTAGTGTTCTGGGGCAGAACCTGTACCCCTGAGGACAGAATTCTCAACCTAAACTCCCTGAGCATGGGGGCCCGGCCAAGGCATTGGAGGGGGCGACCATGGCACAGAGGCGATGGGTCCCTGGAACTTTCTCGCTGCCCACCTGGTCAACACTGCCTGAACCTGGACATCTAAGCTCAGTGACAAACTGGATTCCTTCCAAGTTTCCCTGGCAATGCCATTCTCTGAAGTTCTTGAATGATGCTAATTTGGGGGGATGGGGGGTGGGTGGAAGAATCCTTAAATACAACAGAGATGCCCAGGGTCCCTATTCCTGTTTGCAGGCACCCAGCAGGCATCATCAGATCCAGAAGCCTCAAGAGGGGGTGCACTGAGCCGAGCTGGAACAGGGAGAGGACCAGGCGCTGGGCTGTGACACTGTGACACCTCCCCAAAACACCAAACTGCTGGGAGGGGGCTGTTCTTCCAGCTGCCCCACCAGACCTGCTTCTTCTGAAGCGTGTGTGCAAACGCAAGTGTTACATAAATGCTCATTTATGCCTAGAGGACACTAACGCAACCACAAAAGAGTTTTAAATTACAGCAAAATGGAGTCCCGATGAAAAGAGCTGATGACATCTTGAAAGAAAAACCAAGTAGCCAACCGAGGCCTGGTCCACTGGCTGGAGCTGGACAAGGCTGCCCTGGAGAGGTTTTGCGGCCAGCAACTCCCCACCCTCCCTGCCCTCACTCTCTCCTCCCTGTCTGCACCGGGGTTCCTGTTGGCTCCAAACTGGCTTCCACTCTGCATCTCATCCCCCCGCTGCTTCTGAGCTAGTGCAGATTCCACTAGGCTCTCGTTCCTAAGCTTTCAGAGCCACCCTGGCGGCCCTGATCTCCCCAGCTGGCTCTTTGAGCAAGTGGGCACTGAGGCTCCACCCTGCTCCTCGCCCTGCTCTCCCCGCAGGATCTTCGCTGGTCCCTCGGTCCTCAGGGTCTACACGATGCTGGAACACACTGAGGTGGGGATGAAGGTGGAAGAGCAAGGTCCGGCGCTAAGAATTCACCATGGGCCCTGGGAAAGGCCGCTTCAAGGTCATCTCACAGACCCCGGAGATGGATGCTCGGCTGAGCCCGTCACCAGGAACAGACACCATTGTCCATTAACAGTGACACCAGCCCTAACAGCCTCGAGTTGAGATTCCCACCTGCTCTGCCCATAACTGTAGATTTCTTCTAACCTATTTCCCCAACCAGCCCCCCAGAGAACCCCAACCTGAGAGTCATGTGGCTTAGTTGGGGGACAGGACTTCCCTCTTCCCCAGTCACTCGCCCCTGGAGGAACTCCTTTTCCTCCCATCAACCCCATCTTTCGAGTAACTGGCCGTAACGTGAGTTCGGTGACAGTACTGATTCCCTCTGGTGGAAACAACAAGGCAGTGTGTGTGCAAGTGTGTGCGACATGGCCAGCCCCGGGTCCATACCTTCACATGCCGGTTGTCCAGGCCCTTCGTGTGCTCGTCAAACTCCACGCCCACCGTGAAGTCCAGGTCATAGTTGCGGAACGTGCTGTTGGTCTTGGTCTTGAAGTTGTCGCCCTCCTGATTGATGATCTTTGTCTGAGTCAGGCGGACTGCAATCTTGCGGGTGGCAAAATCAATATCTGTTGGCAAAGGGAGTTGTGGAGGTTATGATGTGCGCGGCTAGACTCATTCATTTCTCTAACAAGGCCAAATATTTGGAACTAGACAGATCACGGCCCAGCCACATTTCTCTACCAAAGTGGGAAACAAGCGTTGTCATACATTTGGCCAGTTGGAGGTCTCAGAGCTGCTGAGAATCTGGGGGTCTCCAGGTATATCCTAAGGAGGCCTGATGGGAGAAGGTGGGAACAGAAACACACACACACACACACACACACACACACACACACACACACGCTAGCCTCACCCCTTCTAGCTCTAAATTTATTCAGTTGTTGTTTTTTCCCCCCTGAAGTTTACACCTCATGGTCTAAAGACAAAAAATAATAACTGGGGTTCAGCAGTTGAGATCATGGATTCTGATGGGACTTTTGTCAATGTCTCTAGCAGAGTGGGATGTGAACCCTCCACCTCGTCCCTTTGTCGCTTCCGATCTGGACTTCTTCCCATGCCCCCCCAGCCCCCACTATTTGGTAGTTTTGTAATCTAACACCAATGATTTGTCATTGTTCGCTACTACCTATTCTCTCATTTCGTTGTTCTTTTTCCACAAATGCACGCAATCATCTGGACCTTGTCCTCCTGAATATGACACCCATCAGTTCCAGCGGTGTGGCACTGAACGAGTTGCCTAATTTTGCCTTTTCTTACAGCTTCATAGTATTTCAGTAAACTTCCACTTTTCGAGTATATGGGTAGGCTTGGGAGGGGATCTTACTTAACCAGGCTACTCTGTGTTCACCATTGCTTTACAATTTTTTAAAAAACTTTTTTATTTTTTGCTTTTTGGGTCACACCTGGCAATGCACAGAGTGAATTCCTGGTTCTGCACTCAGGAGTTACTCCTGGAGGTGCTCAGGGTACCATATGGGATATTGGGAATCGAACCTGGGTCGGCCACGTGCAAGGCAAGTGCCCTACCTGCTGTGCTATCACTCCAAACCCCTACTTTATTTTTTTTTTTTTAGGAAAGATAAATAATCATTGCTGTTCGATTGTTTTTTTAAAAATCTCTAGCCAAAGAAGAGAGGAGAATTTGAGGAATTCTGCAAATGCCTCAGCAGATTCGACAGTGATCAAGATCTCCCATGTTTTAAATCTACATCTTTGCTTTGTCTTGATATTGGAAGAAACCTTACTCAGTTCTTAGAGAATATTAGTGAGGAAAAGGGAGCAGTCTCTTCCCCCAGAGAGTTCTATTTCCTAAGCTTTGCATTTCCAATCTGAAGCAAAGTTATTCACTGACCCGGGCTTGTGTGCAAACCGTCACCCACATCAAACAGCCCTGTGTCAGGAAATGGTCTAGAAACAGAGGAAGTTCTGCAAACATCATTACACTTGGCCTCTGAATGTGTCAGGGTGGTGTCCGATTGGCCCCTTGGCCTGTAAATTTGCAAGATTCACAGGCCACAGATTGGCCTGTGAATTTGCCAGATACTTCTGGAAGCCAGTCTAAAATTTTTGTTTTATTTGGAAGGCTTGCCACATGACCACTCCTGCAGCTCTCCATCCACCCCAGTTCGTCCACGAGTCGAACTTCAGGACCACCGTGGATGCTACAGGTTCAGAACTGAGGCGAGGAGACGGGACAAGAAAAGCAAACAGTGAAGGATCTGCAGGATGAAGTGAAGTGCGAGGGAACTGCAGCGAAATGATGGAGGAAGCCTGGGCACCACAGGGAAAGGTAGACGCTAGTGTTTATCTTCACGCCACAGAGGAGAAACCAAGGCTCCGAGAAATAAGTGGAAAATAAATAGCTCAGAGCTACCCAATAGGCGAGCACTCCTGTTGCTTCCATTCTCTTTCTCATTCCTCACCAAAGGTCCCCTCACTGAAAAGACTGCCTGTCCTCCGATTGCCTGGCCACGTCCATCACAGCTCTAAAGGCCTATGGCTGAGATCAGCGAGTCTGAGCCGGCTGCCTCATTGCAAGTCAATCCCTCGGACCAGGGCCGGGGGATTCCTATTAGGGTCTCCATGCAAATAGAGCTGCTTCTTGGGATTGAAAAATGGCTCGGCCCCCTGGCCACCCCTCAGTGTTTGCACAAACCAGTTAATCATGTCACCTCTGCTCTACTGGGGGCGGGAGGAGGGGGCAGCCAATCGCATCGGTGGTAGAGGTGAAGGCTCCAACAGCAGGAAGAGGTGGGGCCACACACACACACACACACACACACACACACACACACACACACGTACTCTCACATTAGAACAACAATTTCTCCTTGGACTTTGCAGAGGAAGTGATGTTCCCGATAGAGGATTTGAATACCAGGGATATCAAGGATGCTTTTTCCTGCTTTTCTGGATTAAAGGTATCGCTGAGCCTGATTTATGGCAGGTGAAATGAATTTCCATCTGCGAGGAAAAGGTCCAAAGGCAAGCTATTTCTGAATAATATATATGGCTTGTAGCTCCTACAGAAGAAAAAAAAATGCACACACACAGCAGTGGGGGTGGGGTGGGGGAGGGGGACTTTATTAAAGCATACTTTTCATAAGTGCATTTTGAACAATGCAAGCCATAAAGTTGAAATACGAGCGTGCTAGTCTACATTAAAAGGCTCTGTAATGTGTTTGGGGGGGTGTGGTGTGGCAGGAAGTGGGAAAGTTGCAGGCTAAAAGGGCAGGCGCTCTTGGTAAATTAAAGAGCAGAGACGCACGGGATTCATCACGGGAACGGAGACCCTTCACAGCACAGCTTCCAGGGGCCTCCAACCTGGACTCCCTAATTCTCGGACCATTAACACGTTTAGGGGATAGTGAGAAACAGAGAAAAGGGCAAATCGCTCTTTTTTCTCCCCCCCCCCCCCACGCCATTTCCTCCCACAGCTATCGGTCAGAGAGGGAGGTCAAGCTCCTGCCCCCTCCTCCCTCCTTCCCACCTACAAAGCCCTGCAGACTTGTCCTGGCTGGGCATGCTTCCCTGCACCCCTTCACCAGCTGGCCACCCCTCAACCCCCACCCTGCAACATTCACTGACTGACCCCCCCCCACACACACACACAATCTAGTACTCACTATGGGCATGGGCCCAGTAGCGGTGCTACCAGCAGGTGCCAGGGAACAGCCAGAGAAAGGGACCCAGGGACACGAAGGTGCTTGTCCACCACCCATACTTTCCCTGTTCGAAAGTCCCGCTGGATGGTGGCCAGCTGGGAGATGTTCCCGGCCGGTGTGTGCCCACCACAGTCCAGGCTAGCTCGCTCCCCACGCCCTTCTGGCCCTTTGCTCCCTTCCTCCCTTCCCCTCTCATCCATGTGTGCACAGTGGGCAACTCTCATGCCATGTTTCTCCAGGAAAAGCCCTGACTCGGTCACTTGAACCCCCAGAACGCTGAGTGGAAAGCACTGGGCATGAGACACTGAGCCACAGGGACCCCTTGGGAGCAACGCCAGCTCCCAGCTTCGGGGGACCCCCAGAAAGTCCCTCCTTTCCCATGCTGCAGACCCCTTCCCCAGTACAATGGAGAGTTGTGCCCCCGACTTCCTCCTCAACGACCCCCTGAGTCTGCCCCTTTGACCAACGCGCCTATTTTGATCCTGTCCTGGGATGTGTCCCGACTTCTGGAAGCCAAAGAGGCCACGATGAATTTCCAGTGCCGTGGCCCCATCCGGACTCACTCGTCACCGCGGCTCCTTTCCTCCGGCCCTGGGCTCCCGGTCTTCCCAGAGAACCAGGACTAAGCCCATAGACAGACCACATTTGTTCTCACCCCAGAGCCATCTCCAAGCCCCGACGGCATCACCTGACCCGCACGCCGACCCTGCCCTCTCCTTTCCAGCTTGGGGAGCATGGCCGTCAGCCCCTGGCCCTTCCTGTAGCACCTGCAGACCCCAGCTGCCTCCTCACCCTCTGCCCTGCCTGCCAGCTGCCTCCTCACCCTGGAGCCCTGGACAGCCTTGAGAGCGGAGAGAAGACGGAGGAGGGCCACCCGCCATGGGCCCTCCCTCCCCGTTCTTCCCCGAACCCAATCCGCCAGCGCTTTTTGTTTCTTACACTTGCGCTGGGGCTTTGCCCTTGCTGTCCCCGTGCCCGGAGAGGCATCACGTCACGCAGCCTCGTCGCCCCGGCTCCTGCCCACTCGGCCCTCTCCTCCCCACATCCCTTTTCCTATTCTTGACAGCTTCATGACTTCCCAAATCACCTTCCAGTCTCGACTCCCTCTCTCCGTCTTCTCTCCCTCTTTGACATCCCACAGCTGATACCTAGAGTCCTTCCTGGAGTGCTGGACTGGACTGGGGTCCCTGAATGATGGGAATGGGGTTATCAGCAATGCAGGCAATTAGGGAAGGCTTCCTGGTGGCGGCTGCATAAGTGCCAGTTAACTTTGGCCTCTCACAGTGCCCCTGTCTGGAGGGCTATTCCCAACAGCACCAGGTACTATTTTTGTAGGGAACCTGTGCTTTTGAATTGAAACTAAAAATAGATCTTTAGAGACAATGGACCGTTCCATGGTGGGTGAGGTCCAGACATCTGCAATCCAAGAGCTGAAGATCTCACAGGCCTTGTTAGCGCCCAGGCACCTTTCACCTCGACCCCTGACTTCCCTGATTAAACTTGCCCCTTGGGGCTGAGTTTCCCAGACTCACCCCTGCCTCCTCTCCACTCACTCACCCACACCCCTGGGGGCTGGTCTCTCTGCTCAGGGCGTGGCGAGCAGCTCCCCAGGCCTCTGCGGACTGAGCCCCCTCTCCCCCACCTCCCGGCACCCAGCTGTCTGCAGGGCCCTGGTGGCCTCTGTCCTCTATAGGCAGTTCCTGTCCCTGCAGGATCTGGAACCTGCCTCCAGCCCCCGGGCGTGCCCCTCCTGCCACAAGCTGCTTCTGCTCCCATCCTTTGCTTATCTTTCCCGGCTGCCCTCGGTCCTCCTCTGCCTCCCCCAGCCTGCTTGGAAGCTCTGGGGATTCCTTCAGTGACCACATGGCTCTCACGCCTGCACACCTCGCTGCTCTGCTTCCTGTGATGCTCCTTCCCTGGACGAAGACACGAGCCACGCCACGTCCCGTCTATTTTACCCTCCCATCCAACACCCACAGAGTAACAGGACTTTGACCGCCCCCCTCCCCCAGAGAGCGGGAGTCTGTGCAGCCACCTGGCAGTGGACATCACCTCCCTGCCAGTAGGGCAGAACAGAAGCCACAGGAGGTGGCCTCTGAGCCCGGCTCACATCGGGCCAATAGCTCTGCTCCTTGGGTGCTGTTCACAGGCCGACAGACCAGTGAGAGCTTGACGATACCCCAGGGCAGGATGGCACCAACACCCAACCGGGTGGGGAAGCCTTTGAGCCCTCGGCCACAGCCAGTGTCCTGTAGCTGTCTGAGAGGCCTCGGAGGGGGTAGGAGGGGCCTGAGGCAGGGAGAGATATGAATGTTGCTCCCAGCCTCTCCCTTGATTCGTCATCTGTGTCAGGCCAGAGGGTATTTGTCCGACCTCAGGGTTCAGCCTGGCTCATCACATGTGTGGGAGAAATCCAAGGCTCCCACCTAGGGGGGGTGTGACCTGCATCGTGTCTCACCCCCCCCCCCCCCCACTCCACATGCCTTTCATTGGGGACCTCTGCCTGCCCATAGGCTCTCCCTGAAAGCCAGCAGGACAGAACGGAAGCCACAGGAGGTGGTGAAAGCCAGCAGGACAGAACGGAAGCCCTAGAGGAGTGCCTCAGGGCAGCACCATCCTCCTGTTCATCCCTCCAGGTCCAGAAAAGATCTGGGAACCCCCTCCCCTCCCTGACACACCAGGGGAGGCAGGACACTGACCTTCGACCCTTCAGGGCACACCCCAAGCCCTGGCTGTGGGAGTGCCGAGCAGGAGTGAGTCACGGCTAGGGACAGAGCCAGTAACTCAGCTGCAATCTCACCTGGCACAGGCCCCTGCACCCAGGCCCACCAAGGGAGCCCCCACACCCCAGTACCAGGGAGTCGTGTGAGACACAGCAGTCTGGAAGGGCGCTTGCTGGCAGTATAAGCACACGAGTGAATCTCAGAGAGGGCCATGGAGGTTGACATGCCAACCTGGGCAGGAGGGCAGGCACACACACCTCGCAGATTTGTCAGGGTGGAGCAGGTGCCCGCCTTGCAGGGCAAGGGTGATGAAAGACACATACGCCCTGGCACTGGGGTGTGGGGGCTCCCTTGGTGGGCCTGGGTGCAGGGGCCTGTGCCAGGTGAGAGTCCAGCTGAGTTTTGCGGGATACCTGGAACAATGACCCCCACTTGCATGGCGACAGAGCCCCGAGCCCCGTCTCAATCCCAGCCTCTTGTTTTGGGGGTCCCTGTGCAGGGCGGATACCAGTGTCTATCTCTGTGTTGAAAGAAGAGTGAGCGGAAGTCACTTCTGCACCCACCCCCCTGCACTGGGGACTCAGAACTGGGGGAGGGGAAGAGCGGGGGGATCAGCAGTTGGGGAAATGGAGGCACCGAGCACCCCCATATTCTAGGTATACCTGGTCCTGCCCTGGTGAGTGTGAACCTGCCCCATCTATACTGCGGAATCTCCAGTTTGACAGTTGGGATCGAGGCGATCCCTAACCGGTGGGCTGAGGGTCCGAGGGACATTGGGCAGCATGACAGACAGTCCAGGCTCCCAGCTATGGCTCTGCTCAGGAGCGCTTGCCCACAGGGGGGTGGCAGGGAGAGGACAGAGAGCCGCTGACTTCAGAAAGAGGTTTCGGGGGAGACAGCTGGCATTGTGCTCTGCTCCTCTGCTCCCCCAAAGGTTAAAGGGGTGCAGGCAGGAACACTTCAGCAAGTAGAAGCCTAAAGAAGGAGCTTCAGGGCACACCCCACAGAGCCCCAACTAAAGGGAGTCTGGATTTTTCACCTGAAATCAGCACAGGACCGTTTGCTACAGAAACAATGGAAGATACCCCGTTGCTTCCTGTTGCTGTCCCCCAAAATGGCCTGCTGCAGTGGACTCCCTCAAGAAACCCCTACTCCCCAGGAGGGTGCTCGGGGCACCTCCAAGAGCAGCCCCCCTCAACAGCACGGGCAGAGATAGGCCGGGCTGTGACGGCCACCTCCCTGGGCAGAGGGGCGAGTCAGTTCTGACGTCTCTGTGAGTCCGGGTCCTGGGGAGCATGGGCCGTGTCGGCCGCTGTCGCGGGCCCTGGATCAGCACTGAGCTGCAGCTCGAAGGTCTAGCAGTGCCCACCTGGGTACTCCTGTTCCCCCTCCCCCAGGGGCGGTGAAGCATGCGGAGGAGCACAGTGCTGGGAGCACATGTGAAGGAGATGAAGAGGGTGTCTGTCTTTGTAACCGCCCTACGCCAGCTTTCCTGGCTTGTGGCTAGGGCAGAGACGCTCCTCAAAACCCAAACCAACCGCACAGGAGGGTCTCTGTCCCCTGAGTCAACAGTGGCACAGCCACTAAATGAGGGACTCTGACCCCGCCCGTTGTCCTCATGCTCTGCTTGGAAAGCTGTTGCTAGAAAGTTCTGATGCCAAATGCTTTAAGGCTGGGGAGGGAGAGAGCAGCCTGGAAAGGCAGACAGAGATCCTTGCCAAGGGCTAGGCCCGTGACAACTGCAGGCAAACCGGAGTCCCTTTGCAGAGACCTCCTCTCTGACTGTACATAGGGGCTGCAGGCTCCAGAGGACTGAGGTCTGCATTTCTGGTCAGCACCACAAGTCATCCCACCTGACGGTGAGGATGCTCACCACACACACACACACACACACACACACACACACACACACACACACACCTTAGTCCAGAATCTGGCTCAGAAGTCAGCTAGGCTATGAGTTGGTTGATCTCCACAATACACGTTTCTCCGAATGGTGGGTCTTCCTGTCCTACTCCTTTCCTGCTGCTCCACCACCACAGAAGAGCAATGCAGAGGAGGGGTCCAGAGCAATACAGGGGAGGGGTCCTTGGTGGAAAGATCCAGCCTAACCTGATCTGTGAGAGGGCGGATCTCTGGCCCCATGCAGTCTCCTTACCCCAAATGCACCTGGGCGTGGATACATAGCTTCCAACCAAATGGCTAAGCCACCTGTGGGTTGGGTATGATGCTAAGAACATTCTAGGCATAAGTTCCAGCATGCAGATGCAGGAACTAAGCCTCCGGGAACTTGCCTGATGTTGCAGAGCTCACCTGCAGAGCTCCGCAGAGGTGCAGTGATCCCAGAGGGTCCCGCCCTCTCCCCCGGGGACCCCATGCTCTCACCAAGAGCCTTCATGTAGCCCTCGAAGTTCTCGTTGCTCTCCATCTCCCAGACTCCATTCTGGTCCTTCGACATGGTGGAGGCTTCTGGATGAAGGTGGGTGTGCGGTAGAGAGCAGGGAAGCAGGCTGCAGGAAGGTGTTGGAGAACACTCCTTTTATAGCCTGGCAGACCAGCTTTATGGCGTCGGAGATAACAGTGTCAAAGGTCCTAAGCACAGCCCAGAGGAACTTTCCTTTCCTTTGCAAAGTTCATCCCTGGACTCCAGGCAACCAAAGCTCCAGGACCGAAGGGGCGAGGCGGGGGGAGGGGGGGATGTCCTGGGTTCCTGCTCCAGAGGCAGAGATCTGCAGAACCTCCCTTTGGGCTGATCGGGCGGCCACAGATCCTTTAGCTCCACAACAAATATCCCTTGCTGCATTTGAGAAAAACACTTTGGTGTCCAACCCCTGCTCCCCCCACGAGCTCCCAGCCTCGAATCTGGAGCTGGCCAGACAGTAGAGCCAGCCCTTGGACCTGCCTGGTGAAGGACGAAGATGGGAATCCACATTGAGGTGATGGGCGGGGGACTCCCCTGGGCTGGGCAGGTGGTGTGGCTAGTCGAGCATGTTTGATCTTACTAGAGTGCTCAGTGAGGCTCTGCCCTCTCCATTTTGCAGAAAAAAGGGTTCAAGGAGGTCAAATCCCGTGCTGCCAAGAGGCTGAGCGAGATTGCTCCAAAGTCCTCCCCCAGTTGGGTGTGCTAAGGTCAACTTGAAAAGTGTGTTGGAGGCTGACTCTGGAGCTTGCCTGCCCCGGCCCCCTAGGGAAGCACCCCAAGGGCCTCTGGGCAGCAGGGTTTGAACAGAAAAGCGAGTTCTTGGGATCTGAGTCAGCTCAAAGCAGGACTGACGGGGAGTGGGTGGGCGGCAGGGGTAACCATAGTGGACCGCTGGGCTGCATGATGCTGCTTCTCCATCCCAGGAGGCTGGGCTTTCAAGTGGCATTTGGATGAAGACTCTGCCAGTGACTCGGGAAGCGGGTGGCGTTCCACTCTGACTCAGGGTTCTGGGAGATGAGGCCTGAGTCGAGCCACCATGCACCCCAAAGACTAGCAGTGTGGGCTGAGATAAGCTGATAAGCCCCCCCCCCCCCCCCCCGCACCTAGCAGAGCAAGTCCAGTTTGGGTGAAGACACTTTCAGGCTCTGGTGCTGTAAAATCTGAACAAATGGCTCTGCCTAGGAGTGGTTTTGGGGGACAGAAAACAGCGTGTTCTTTATCTCGCCTCATACACAGGAGTCAGGAAGACACAGAGTCAAAAACGGTCCAGCTGGTGGGTGTCAAAAGGCCAATGTGGGCTGGAAAGAAGGAGGGAGAAAGGAACGGCATGGTGGAGGCTGCAGTTGGGCTCAGAGGAGACATAGGCTTTGGGCCTTGAGGCCCACCAGGGGTGGCGACTGTCTGGGCACTCAGCCCCTGAGGGGAGGGAAACAGGCCGGTCCAGACTCAGACTCAAGGACTCCACACAAATAGGTCCTCACTATGAGGACACTGACATCCCCCGTGAACAAGAAAAATAGCCACCCTGTTAGGAGCTGGAACCAAGAATGGAGTTACTAATTACAATAAATCAAAGTTTTAATGGGATGGCCGTTTGTTTTTGTGTGCCACACCTGGTGATGCCCAGGGATTACTGCTGGATCTTTACTCAGGAATTACTCCTGGGGGTACCTCGGGGACCATCTGAAAGGCTGGGGATCAAGCTCCAGTCAGTTCTGTGCATGGCAAATGCCTTACCCATTCATTATACTATTGCTTTGGCCTCAGGGGCTTCACCTTCTATAAGACAGGAAGTCAAAATTGAGGCGTTGCATAAAGCTCAAATACAGATTACACAGTAAGGGTTTGAAGTAAAGTCTGCAGGCAACAGGGAAGTTTAGGTGTTTTTCCTGGGATCGGTGTGAGTTCCAAAAGCATTCTGCACCTCTCTAACTGGCGGCAACTTGAATTTACACTGCCTGCTAGTCAATACGTCAAGATATGTAAAGGCCTGAGCTTATCATACATTTAGATCATAGGAGAGGAATAAATGTAAAACAGTCTGTCAGGACACGCCTCAGGCCACGTTATCCAGAGTTCCTTGTGATAAAGTCATATCAAACGTAACCCCCAAATTGTAAAACATACGTGAAAATAATCTGCCATAAAACTAGCATCAGCAGAAACATACGATCAGATTAGACTTCAAAGAACTTTGAATAATAAAATGATCAGGTACAAACTATGAGAAAGAAATTTTCATGCATATAAGCCGGTAAAAGAGTAAAATTACTTTTAATAAGTTTTAAGAGAACTGTAGCTATAGAAATACAATCACGAAGAGTAAAACAATAGATTAAATAATAGATTAAACATAGGTAAAGAGAGAACTAGTAAACCAGAAATCAGAGTTGGGGGGTGACCTAGAATGTAACACAGAATAAAGTGCTGGAAATGAAGAATACCAAAATAGCACTGTAGCACTGTCCTCCCACTGTTCACCGATTTGCTTGAGTGAGCACCAGTAATGTCTCTATTGTGAGACTTGTTGTTACTGTTTTTGGCATATCGAATACGCCACAGGGAGCTTGCCAGCTCTGCCATGAGGGTGGGGTACTTTCGGTAGCTTGCCAGGCTCTCCGAGAGGGATGGAGGAATCGAACCCCAGATCAGCCACGTGGAAGGCAAACACCCTACCCGCTGTGCTATCATTCCAGCAGAATACCAAAATAAAAATCTAAAATCCCAGAGAAAATAAAACAACCGGGTAGGTTGCCTGTGAAGAAATAATACAATAATCAAACTGATATCAGAAAGGAACAACTTATAGTGATGATAATGATTACAATGCTATTGAATGACAGATCTAGCCCAAGCCAACTTCATCCAGATGTGAGTTTGCTGACTGGAGGAATTGAGATTAGAGCAAGCATGTGGTCATGAGTTTAAACCCCCAGCAACTCACATGTGCTGAGCACAATAATAGAAACTCTGCTCTCTGTGCCATCAGTGGGTTGAAGAAAATACTAACAACTCAGTATTATTCCCCATGCCTTTCCTTGGAGCCTTATCACCTGCCATATTTCAACTACGTCATCTCGCCTTGCTTTAAAGTAGTACTGACAACGTTTTTCTCATAAGGGTCACACTCCTCTTATTTTGTTTTGTTTTTGCATAAAATCTGTGATGAGTTTTCAGTGAAATGCAGCATCTTGCAAGTGGCAGTGGAGGTCCCATTTCAAAAGTTCGGTCCCACAGTCCACTGACTCTTTATCCATTCATGAATAACTTACCTGGAAGTTTCCATTTCCTCAGTCGCCCAGGCGGCTCCACTGTAATCTCTTTCCCACTAGCCTCCACTCATCTTTGGACTCACAGAACACAAATTTCTTTACAGAAGTCTTCATGGAATCCCTTGGGTGATGCTTAAGTTTCCTGGAGGAAACTTATCAGCAATCTTTCCAGCTTACACGATGCGATGCTCTCTGCAGGGCACCCCATTAAGCGTACAGGGCACCCCATTAAGCTGCCCTTTAGAAACTGGCACCTGAGACTCATTTCTCTTCTGAGGACCAGCGCAGACAAGCTTCCCTGGCACTTACCTGCTTTCCTCAAGGGCGTCGGATCGCTGGGCCCCCGTTCCTTGCCTTCTAGGAGTTAAGTGGTCTTTCTGCCCCAGGCCTGCTGGTTTCTGCCTTCCCGTCTGGTCCTTGGGGACTAGAGTGTGTTTCCCCACAGGAAATGTGACATCTGTGTGCTTACCCAGCTTCTGGGCCGGCCCGTCCCTCCGGTTGAGCAATGCCCTGTGGCCTGCATGTTCAGGCACATTGGATGTGCTGCTTGTGGAGCTGGGACATGCCACCAGTTTTGGATTCATCCAGGAATTCCTGACACCAGCAGGCAACTTGGGCCTGACTAGTTTTGATGCCTCTTGCAGCCCTTTGTTTCTGCTCCCATGAATCTGGGCAGGAGAACAGAAGGCCACAGACCCAATTCCCTGCTGGGCCTATATAGTTCTCTGATCACTCACACTCAAGATGGGGCCCATCTGTCATCCTTCAGATCTCTCCACTCTCTAACCCAATGGCCAGGATCTCGTACTGGTTACCCAAGACCACTTCTTCCCACGAAGACTGTCCCTGGCTCCCCCAAGCACTTCATGGATTGACCTTGACAATTCCACCCAGTGGAATCTGCTTCTGATGACCTTGTCTTCAATTGGATCTAAGGAATGCAATCTGGGCATCCTCTAAAAGATCCAGATGCCCCCCCGCAACACGCCCCTCCAAATCCCTTGAGTCAGGCTATTTCAATACTTGTCACTTTGGCATGGGGAACCAGGGTTAAAGTGAGCCTGTGACTTCCAGATAAACTGTTAGATTTACCTGCAGAAATAAGTGGACCTGGATTTCAGGCTGACTCCATAAATGCCTTTTAATCACAGAAGTGTACTTGAATGCTACACACGTGCATCGAGAAGTAAGGCTCAATCCTAGCATCATCTGCCCTCTTTCACGGCCCGAGGCCCCTTGTCATAGAATGTAATTCTCTGTCCCATCTGCTTGAGTTTATTACTAAAACTGGTCTTCTCCTGCTCATTTGTCTGATTGTTTTGTTTATTTTTGTGCTTGGGGGTTTTAGGATTACACCCAGCTGTGTTCAGGGCTAACTCCTGGCTCTGTGCTTAGGGAACACTCCTGGCAGTGCTCAGGGGACCCTAGGCATAGCTGAAAATTGGACTAAGTTAGACTGTGTGCAAAACAAGAGTCTTGCCCACTGAATTATCTCTTTGGCCCTCATCTCTCTATTAACTTGTCCAGCCTCAGGAGCCAGACTTGTTCTGTATACACAGGAGTGTTGAGGCCCAACTAGACTGTTAGGATAAGCCCATGGAGACTGACCCGCAAACGGGCAGGAGCATAGGGACCTATGAAAATGGGTGAGCTGTGACTTTTATGTCCGGACCGGTTTGGCTAGGGCTGAACAACGTTTTCTTTAAGCTGCCTTCAGTAAATAGCCTAAATCTTAGTATAATAAGAGTCAGTCTTCCTCTTCCCAT